GCGGACAATTTTTTCTTTTTTTTTTTTTTTGTGTTTGTGACGATGAACTCCCCCTCACATTCCGTCCACCTTCCTCTAGGTGCCAGCCACATCTCTATGCAGCATCCGCTAGCAGGTGGCCCATGGAGTGGCAGTGGCATTGGTCCCGGTGGGAGCGGTACGCCGTTCCTCCTGGACGGAGGTAAGGTGACGCTCTGGCAGCTGGCAGCAAAAGAGACACCCAAATTTTACCTGTTTCAAACCAAGCTTCAGAGGCAGTTATATATTTTCTTTCAGCCGAATGATCGGAACCCATACGTTGCCAGTCCCTTGTGGGAAGGCCAGGCTGGCAGGCTTTCCAAAGGCAAAAAGCTTCCTAGGGTTTCCAGCCAGCAATTTATTACACCATAAAGGAACAGCTGTCCCTCAGATGAGATAAAAGATTCAATCCTGCACAGGTGGGACCTCATGGAAGTACTTCCTCAAATAGGAAGTAAGAAATGTTTACTTCAGATGCCCCACATCTGTCACAGAGTAGTCATGTGGTCCCTTGTCACGCTTAGTTGAGGAGTGATGATTTTCTCAAACTTACTGGCTCAGCTGCTTGTTATTGTATGAACTCAGGAGAAATATTTGTGGTCCTGAGTCAGCCCAGCAGAAATTCATAGACTTTCCTACAAGTTAATGTTATCTCTTGAAATCGGTGAAGAAGGAGCTTTAGTGCTTGTCTGAATCTGTGCCTTAAGGGCTATTCCAGGTTCAAGGAATTCAGTGTTATTAGTCAACAGAAACAATACTTGGCAGAGGCAGGATTTCAGATTTACTCACCAGCCTTATCTTGCTTCTGTAGAAAAAAACAGGAATTTTATCACTGATTCAGTAGGAACAGAACTGGGAATTTGACGTATTAATACTCTTGTGATAGGAGCCAGATCCTCCTTTCTTGCTTTGATGTAAATCTAGAGAAGTGCCACGTGGCCTCGTTGGAGTTGTGCTTTACTTGTACCGAGGTCGTGGAGAGCAGTGTCTCCCCAGGCAGCGTGTTTGCTTTCTACAAAAACCAGCTAGGATTTTTCTGACCGCGAATCCAAAAAAAAAGATACTCATGATACAGGCCACTATAAAACCTTCCTGTTGTAGCTTCATTATCTCCTTTGGCTGTGGAACTTGTGGCTTTGGCTGAAGGATTACTTGTGAGCCATGATGTCAGGAGCACTGATTTAGAGACTGTTCTTTCCCTGGGATCCAGCTGTAGCTGAAGATTTCAACAGACGGGCTGTCAGGCTGAGGTGCCTTGTTCTGCTCTGGTTTTCAAGGCTCAGATCTCTTGCTCTTTGCAAAGATTGCTCAGCTCATAATTTAGAAACGTTTTCTCAGCTACGACCTGACTTGTTTTCTTTCTAATCACAGTGATTTAAGGATAGGTTTTGGGGTAGACTATGGGGGAATTAACCTCTTATGTTCTGGGAGGACAGAGATCCCCAGCACTTGCAGTCAGTGGGAACTTAATAGCAGCAAGAATTGAATCCAGCCAGAGCTGCCAGGGGGACCGGGCATCCCTCAGGATGGAGGTGACATGCCATCCCTCCTGCAGGGGCAATTCCTACTGTGCTTCCTCCTTTCTCTCATTTTCTTGACTGCTTTGGGGTGAAGGCTGGAGAAGGCACAGAGTTGCTCTGCCACTGACGCCTCGTGTGTCCTTGGGCAAGTTGTTTCATCTCTCCATGACTCCGTTTCTTGTATGTAGTGAGCTGTAATGTTCACCAGCTGAGTAGGGAAGGTGGGAAGTGCTGTGGGGAGAGGGAAGGGATGTCTGTGGAGGTGAGTGAGCCACTGGACCATGCTTTAAGTGTTTGGTTTGAGATACTCACTGTTGATGTTATTTAGCCAGCCATGGTCAATAACCTGTCACAAGAGCAATGCATTGGCAAGTGCCCCAGTGACAACTGAAAAGCCCTGATAGAATAGAAGCTGAGATTAGTGGTAAAAGCAGGGGGGTGTCTTTATTTGCTTACGACACTGCATAACCTGCCACAAAGCTGTCTCTGCTGCTGCTCCGCTCCAGTCTCCGTCACGGCGTCCCTCATGGATTGCAGCAAGGGTTGTCCTCAAGAGTCCAAAGTGCCGTGGCAATGTCGGAGCATCCCTGCATGAAGGGCAGCGCGGGGACACGGACACCATAAGGCTTTGCAATTTTTCCTTGGGCAGTTTTATTGAGCGGGGCTAAAAGGGATAGCCGTCCCCCTCTCCCTTGCCAGCAGTGTCCGGTGCAATGTGTGTGTGACGTTCTGCGCAGCCCTTTTTCCCCCACCCCCCACCCCGTGTGGTCTCAGCTGTGCCTGGAACTGCGATGCCTGGGTATTAAAATGGGCTTGGTTTGTCTTCTGTTGGCCCTGCAGGTCTGAGCAGTGACAGTGGACTCGGGGGAAGCACGGACGGCAGCACCGATATCCTGGTGTTCGGCTCCGTGGTGGACAGCGTGACAGAAGAAGGTGGGTGTCACAGGCTGCTGATGGAAGCATGGGGAGGTGGCTGGTGCTAAGGCAGGATGGATGGGGAGAAGCGTCTGGGGACAAGAGCAACAGGAAACATAAGAAATTAGAAACGGGCAGCTTTTGGATAATCTCTTTCCATCTTTTTTTTGCCTCTTAGAGTGCGAGGTGTCAGAGGAGTCAAGCGGCGAAGCAGAGATTGAACAGGAGGCATCAGACCTGGAGGATCTGAGGGAGCTGCATCCCGGGTTGTTGATCTACAAGGCAGCGCAAGCCCGAAACCTGCCTCTTATGGCAGAAGCACTGGCGCACGGCGCTGAGATCAACTGGGTGAACGATGAAGATGAAAACAAGACGCCTCTGATCCAGGCCGTGGCGGGGGTAGGTTGTGCTGGTGGCTGGGAGGCCATGTTTGGGAATGTGAGCTCTTGACTTGAGTTCAGAGAGCACCAACGATGGGCAATTTACGTGCTCGTGCATCCTCTCAGTACTGCTGGCTGAATTTATTTAGAAATTCCCCTTTGCCTTGGCAGGGTTCCTTGATAGCCTGTGAATTCCTGCTGCAGAACGGGGCGGATGTTAACCAAAGAGACAGCCGAGGCCGAGCTCCCTTGCACCACGCCACGTACCTGGGGCACACTGGGTAAGTTCTTAGCACGATGCTGTGATGTTCCCCACCACCCTTGGGACTGAAATCCAGCGTTAACGCCGAGACTCGTGGGGTGAGGTGGGCAAAGGAGCTGGGTTTTGGTGCATTGGTTATTTGCAAAACTTGCCTTTTTATATCATATCAACAATTTGATTATCTTAAGGATAATTGCCCCCGTGGTGGTACACCCATTCCTTTCTCCACGCCACCACAGCATTTCCTGGTTTATTTAGACCAGTATAAGTGAAGCTGTGCCCGCCCATGGAAGGGCAGTGCCCTCTGCCTGCTTCAGGGTGAGGTTGGGGAGCTGGAATTCCTGCTCTGAGGGTCTTTTCTTTCCCTTCTACAGTCAGGTCTGCTTGTTCCTCAAGCGAGGGGCGAATCAACACGCGGTGGATGGCGACGGGCAGGACCCGCTCAGTATTGCTGTCCAGGCAGCCAACGCAGACATTGTCACCTTGTAAGTGCAGCCAGGGCTTTCCAGGGCACGTCAACGTGTAAAGAGCCACCAGGGAAGGAGTAACCTAAACCTCTCTCCCTTCTGCTTTCTCTGTTTTTGCTCTAGGCTGCGTCTGGCTCGAATGAACGAGGAAATGCGAGAAGCAGAGGGGCCTTTTGGACAACCAGGTCAATATCCCAGCAACAGCCCTACTGAGCAGCAGTACAGGAAGTGTATACAGGAATTCATCAGCCTTAATATAGATGAGTGTTAGTGACAACTTCCCCCACCTCCCCTTTGCTGTCTTGAAGCCGGGCTGGATTTCTAGAAGCCCCGAGAAGCCCCATCCTTGGTATATTGGTGTTTCTTGCAGACTGGTCTGTTTTTGATGCCTGCACATAGAGGTTGAGACGCACACGGGAAGGAAAAGGGCTCTTTCCTGTTGGCGTTGAGTTCTCATGCTTGGCTACTGGATGGTTGATTTTGTGTAGGAGACTCCTAGGGCATAACCACAGACCACGGCGTGTGGACTTGAGTGTGTGAAAAGTATGGGAGATGAGTTTAGCATTTAAAAAAAAAAAAAGAAAAAAAAAAAAAAGGAAAAAGAAAAGAGAAGAAAAGGAAACCCTCTATCACCAGGAGAAACCCACCAACGATATGATCAGACGAACCCGTCTCTGCTTCGGTGTAGGTACCGTGCACTGAGTTCTCGTCTGAACAGTTTGGTTGGAAGGGATTCCAACGTGGAGACCTCCATCCTGGCAGCGTGACCAGCAGCCTGCTCTCTCCTGGGACTGCTGCAGCGTCTGGGAGCTGCTGGGACCACTTTAGAAAACTTACAAGGTGACCTCTAAGGCAGGAACAGGCTGTTTTGTGAGGCAGAGGTACTCTGCTCCAGAAGGCACAAGAGAAGGGGTAGGATTGAGAGCGATGGCTACTCACCTTAATTGCTCTCAGGACTATACCAGCCACGCTCCCCTTTTTTTTCGGCCCTTGGTGGTTAGCTGGTCAAAGCCATAGCTCACCTGCTTCCCGGGCCAAGATGCCATCTGCTCGGTGTTACGGAAGCAGCGGGGCTGATTTTCTTTTGAGGCTGGGAGAAGCTTGTCGCTGGCGATGGGCTTTGTGTCAGGGAAGAGAAGCCACATCCGAGTCCCGCTGCTGGCCGGGCTGGCTGCACCGTGCCCATCTGAGACATCCTGGTCCCTTCAGCTTTCTGACTTGGCATCTCTGTGAAGGAGACTTCCACTTGCATGTGTATCCCCCCGTGCTCTCCCCCCGCATGCTGAAGCATGTGAGTAGGGCATCTCAGCAGCTGGCCCAGGGGCCGTTCGGTTCCCCACTTTCAATGACTGGCAGAATCTTCTTTTTACTTCTTTTCCTTTTTTTTTTTTCTTGTGTCATTCTTTGCTGGAGTGGGGGAATGTGTTTCTACTCGGAGCACTTTGTTGCTGTGTTTCTGCTCTGTGTCACAGGGATGGTGCTGCTGTAGCTGTGCAGAGGTGTAACCCTGTCTCGGGAGGGCTGACAGAGCACACGTCCCACCAGCAGCTTGGTCTCTGGCTGAGAGGTGGGATACTGAGCGAGGGGTGCTCCTGGAAGAGCCTCTTCAGAAAGCCCTCAACTGCAATTGATGTTGGAGCTATTTTTCAGGTCCACGACTGGCATTGAGCCTGCGGGGGCACCCGGGCTGCTGGCTCTGGGGCTGGGCTGTAGTGCCTTACGGACAGAGACGGGATCTCAGAGGGATCAGGATCTGGCAAGGAACGCAAGAACACGGGGCAGAGTGCCCCATCCTCCTGCATTACATTGGACAGAGACAGGATCTCAGAGGGATCAGGATTTCACTGAATTTCACTGAATTTCACTGAATTTCTAGAGTTGGAAGGGACCATAGAGATCATCTAGTCCAACTCCCCTGCTGAAGCAGGATTGCCTAGAGCTAGAGCATGTTACTCAGGACCTGGCAAGGAACACAAGAACACGGGGCAGAGTGCCCCATCCTCCTGCATTACATCAGCAGTGAGACACAATCATCATATTTTTCATCCAATACATATTTTTCTTTATTTTTTTTTTGTGTATCCTGGCTGCTGTCGTGCTGCAGCACTTGGTGGATGAAAAAAAACCTCTGCAGGTTTGTTTCTACTGATGTAATTGTGTCCTCGGATACTGAAGCAGCAGTGACCCAGCTCTTCACTCCAGATACTGCCCTCAGAGACAGAACCAACAGCACTCACTCTCCACCCACACATCTAAGAGTGGAACAATCAAGAAACCCCTCTTAATCTCTCGCAGGGTGTCCCCTCCTTCTAGGGAGGGTCCCCACGTCCTTAGCAAACTGCTGTCCTAGGTTTTGCTGCCACCAGACCACACTTTTCTGTCTTGAAGTCCGTCTTTGTCTTGTGACCTTCCCCTTCTTGTTCCCTTTGGAGCTTTGGGACACACGGTACCAAGTGCCGAGATCTGATCTCCGTCCCAGCTGCGTGTTGGGAATCTGGAACAGTCCCAGTGCCCGTGCTGGAGCTGCTGCAGATGAACAATCTTCTTCCACCAATCTTGGAAAAGAAAAATTAATGAGCTTGGCCCCATCGGCCTTTTTATCATTGGCAATGCCTTTCATGGCTTTTTCTCCCTCACTTTCCCTGCTCTTTCTGTCCCAGGAGACCAGCGCTCTCTGCACCTGAACCTGAGCATGAGCTCCTGCCTTGTGGGAACCTGCCAGGTCACTGGAGGGACAGTGCTCGGTGTGTTCTCCCTTCTTACCTGCTCAGTACCTGGTCTGAACCCATCCTGTAGTCCCTGACCAGGTGATAGTCCTTCTGAACTCTTCTCTGAGTAGGACGTGCCCTTAGCAGTTGGCAGAGGGCAGGTCACTTGGGCTGTGTTTGTGGTCCCTTCAGTGGTGGCATCCTGTGGAGTGACTAAGGAATGCTGGGGGCATAAAATGCCATCCTTGCTGTAATTCCATTCCAGAGGGACACTAGGGTATATAAATCCTACATTCAGAGGATCAATTCTTTGTGAATAGGGACCGTGTTCTGGTGCTGGCTCCCACCTGTGACTCCCCCTGAAGGGAGAGGGCTGACTCCAGGGGTGTACCCCTGGGAGTGACAGCAGATGCAGGCAGATGGGCACTGTGTGTAGCTGCTGCTGCGTGGTCTCCTTCAGTCTCAGTTTAACATGTCCTGGGTTAAATATCCTTCTTCCTGCTACCCATGAGAAGGGCTAGCCAGCATCACTGCCTGCCCAGCATTTCTTGTGCAGGATTACAGAAGGTGACCATGTTCTCATGGAGCTTCATCTTTCCGTCCTTTGCATTGGACTTCATCCTCCTTCTTGTCCAAGTCACCCTAAATTTACCTAAATTCCCCGCTGAGCAGGGTGGTGCCTTCACTGGTGTGTCACTGGCCTGTTTGACGTCCCTTTCTTCTCAGCTGAGCCCACTTCAGCCGGTGGTAGTTCTACCCCCAAGCAGGGTCAGGAGAGGTCTGAAGTCTCAGAAACCATCTGTGTGAAGGGCCCTGCAGCCCCCACCTCTCTGTGTGGAGCTCGGATGGGGTCGGATGCTGTTGTCCAGAGACTGGGGTGGTGGTGCTGAGTCTGCTGGACATCCAGCAGAACCCTTAAACAGGCGACTGCCATCAGCAGGACCGTGCCGTGCTCATGGACAGGTCACACATCTCACCCCACCACATCCAGACCAGCACAGGAGCCCATGCCCAGCCAAGAACTTGCTCTGCTTCCTGGGCTGGGAACAGGGAGATCCTCCGTAATGAATTCTCCTTGATAATCCCATCCCCTTCCAAACTGATCTGCTTCCATTGAGAGTGGGGTGGTGGTGCTGAGTCTGCTGCAAATCCAGCAAAAGCCCTTAAACAGGCGACTGCCAACAGCAGGACCGTGCCGTGCTCATGGACAGGTCACACATCTCACCCCACCACATCCAGACCAGCACAGGAGCCCATGCCCAGCCAAGAACTTGCTCTGCTTCCTGGGCTGGGAACAGGGAGATCCTCCGTAATGAATTCTCCTTGATAATCCCATCCCCTTCCAAACTGATCTGCTTCCATTGAGACATTGGTCAGCGCTGACGTCCCCTCGAGTTGTGCCCTCTCCTAGAAAAAGGCCACACTTCAATCAAAACTGGCACCTTTCAGGGTTCTTCAACGATCCAGAAAGTGAAATAGATGTTTCACTGCTCCCGTGGTCCTGCTCCCAAAATGAATTCCAGCCTGGTCATTGTCTAGCCATGCTTTTTTCTTTTTTCTTTTTCTTTTTTTTTTTTTTTTAACATGTATAGCAACTTCAAACACCCCGGTTGGTTTTCCAGCTTTTCATGAGTTACTAGAAAGGTGAGGGCTCCCTTCTGTCGGGCAATGAGAAGGGGAGATGGGGCTTTTTAGTTCCCCATCAGCGTTATAGTGGCTCATGAGAAAAACCCAAAACTCCTGTGCAGCTCCTTCCCCTGAGGCTCAGACTCACTGCTGAAGTACATGAAGTTAAAGCCTGTGTAAATACTGACGCAAAAAGCAGTGTCTTGCAAGACAATTGATCTATTTAACATGTATTGGTACTTTATTTAGACTCAATGTATAAAGCAACTTTGTGCACTTTTCCTACATACAGTATTGGGGGGGGGGAGGGGGGGGTTATGTTCTTTTGTTATGGATTTTGTGCTGTCTTTTTTTAATCGGTGAAATTGTTAAGTATTTAATTTATTATTGATGTGCCCAGAGGACTAGTGCAATTTTTATTCAATACAGTTTGTCTCTATTTAATGTCAGGATTTTTTTGTAGCATTGTTAGGGAATAGTTTTCAAAACCTGCCTCTTTTTTTTCCCCCCCACAATTTTCCTTTCTTTCTCCTCCCCCCTTTTCTCTTCGATTTCCATTCTACAGATCATGAAGGCATTAAATGCCTTTCGTTTGAAATATAATCAAACACTTCAGTACATCCTCCAGTTTTTAAAACAAAAAGGTTCTCCAGGAAAAAAAAAATGCTGAGGAGGCACTTCTTGATGTTTTCTGTGTTTCTTTGATTATTTTCTTCTGCTGAGGGTGTGTGTGTGAGTGTGTCTGCTTTGAAGCTGGGAGGGGAGAGTGGGGAAGTTGTACAGAAAATTGGTTTTCAGCAAAGTAAATGGCCAAGCAGGCTCCCGAGAAGACTAGAGATGGAACAATTTCTTTGTTTCCTTCTTGGAACACGGCTGTATCAGTGTTGTATAATCTTATTTGAAATACCTAATGCCAAAACTACTCCCTTCTCATTCTTCCTTCCCTTTCAAAGCGTGTGCGTGTGTTGTCTACATGATGGTAACTTGGTTGACGACCACAGTTAACGAGGAGATTTGCCTTTGTCTAGAAAGCAACATGCCAGGCACTGCCAAAACCCAAATGGACCCACGGCCATTGCCTCAGCCCTGCACAATTCTGGCATCTTTTGAGGTTTTTTGAGATTTGGGTGAATATTTACATCCCTGTCCTACCTTTTCTTTGACTCCACCCAAACCCTGTAGCCAAGTGCCTGGACAGGTCGTCTGGGTTTGAATCTCTGGGGTCTGCCACGTGTCTCCAATTCCTGATTCCCTCTCCAGGCGTCATCCAGGTGAAAGCCTCAGGTTCTTTTAATATTGATGTCTCTGAGCTGGTCTCTGCCATTTCTTTGAGCAGTCTAGAGGGAAAACATGGAATTGAAAGAATTTATATCTTTAAAGAAAAAGAGCTGACAAGCTGAGACTGCTGTGATCAGCGTGAAATGGATCAGTAACATCTCAGACCAGCAAAAATGGCCATTATTTATGCAAGAGAAAAAAACAGGAGCTCCTCAAGCAATGCACTGATTAACTTCTTCTCCTGTGGCCACAGCCCAGCTCTGGTCTTCTCCTGAGCTGCTGTGTTGTTCCTGCACTGCTGGACTCTCCCCAAACCCCCTTCTCTCCTCCCTGCCCGAGCATTATTGATTTCAACCAAAGACAAAACAGGATGGAGAGGATTAAAATGTGATATTAAACCACGGGGTTGGCTGACGAGAGGCGTCCGTGTGTGCGTGCGTGTGTGGTGGTGGGATACGGAGAAGGCTGTGGGGAAGGGATGGAGCAGGAGAAGGGAGAGTGGGAGTGCTGAAAAAACAAGACCTTTTCTTTGAGATTCTGAAATCCCGAGTGCTGTTTCCATAGGGATGTGGTTCGTATCCCTCTGCCTGCTGGAATGGGGGTGGGGGTAGCTGGAGGGGGACCATGGGGCAGCCGAATAGCTGTGGGGAGGGGATGAGGGATGGAGGTGGGGAGTAGCCAAGAGGGTTCCCAAGGCACGAGGAGCCCGGGGAGTGTTTCTGGTGTTCCCTTGTGGCTGCTGGATCCCAAAAATCGATAATCCTCCCTCACTGTGGGGTCTCACAGGCTGGAAGCCTTGCGGGGAGAAAGCCCAGCCAAGGGGGCTTCACGGCAAAGCCCCCTCACCTTCCTATCTAAACAGCACAGAGAGAAAGACGTTCTTTAGCCAGGTCAAAGCTGCTAATTGTGGTTAATTAACACAGCTCTGTTCCACACTGGCTGGCTGGGCGGCTGTCCCAGGGGCTGACACTCGCTGTAAATACGCTGTAACCTATTAACCTCCTTCACTTGCCTGCTTTCAGTACGACTTTGTAACACGTTTTTTAATTCCCCCCCCCTTTCCCTACACAGCCTGTACTGACTGTAACTACGGAACCAGATATTCTCTATGTTATTATCTTTGTACAATTTTAAAACTGTTGCTGTGGTGTCTGCCTTTTTTCCCCCCCTCCCTTCTCTTCTATTGTCTCTTGAAACACTGTTAATAAAAATCTAGATAAACTCCTTCCCTCCTCCTTCTTTGGCTTGATTTATTTATTGTAGGGTTTCTTGCCTTGTTGCCTGTATTAACTGGATCTAGAAAACCATCCCCTTTTTAACCTGTTTTCCTTCTCTGCAACCCACAGCTTGACTTGTATGGCAGCGAATAGATTTGGGATGCCACATAAATACTCTGTGTTTTTCTTTGGGTTTCTGTGACGCCGTCTTGTGATAAGGTGATGAATTTCAGGGTTGATTTGGAAGAAGACTGGGATAGAGGTGACAGGCTCAGATCTACCCCCCAAATCCCCCCCATTCATGTTTCTTCAGAGAACCCGAGTCAGTGAATGCTCTGTCCCTGAAGGGAGACCTTGCACTAGATGAAAAATATCCATCCTCCTGCATATGGACCACGGCTTCCACACCTGGCAGTGCCCTCCTCCCCACCTTCCTTCCTCTCATGCTGTGTGTCTGTGGCAGAAAAAAAAATAAAAGAAGAAGAAGAAAAGACAGACCGGCCTGGCTTCATGATTTCTACCATGCTTAGCACAGAAAATAAATGCAGAAAAAGAAAAACTGTGGAATAACCTCTGTTTTTCCCCTGGAGGGACAAATAGGTCCCGATTAATGAATCCGGGCAGGCTCCTGAGCTCAGTGAAGGAGTTAAATAGGAAGGATGCTTTGAAATCAGGAGTATTACAGTCTTTTAAGGCATTTATGGAAGGAGAGCTGGATGCTCTTACAGTAAATGTATAAGCCCAGAGCTTGGGAGACATGTGGCTTCATCCCCACCCCGATACTGACTCCCCCTGCCCCCCCTTTGCTTTACTCCCTTTCTATTTCTGTCTGAAACGGAGCCCGTGGGCTCCCGAGGGTGAATACACTGGAGACCGAAATGCGATTACAGAAACCCAGATCTCACAAAGACAGTCTCTTCCTTTAGATCATGAGGACTAAATGCTGAAATATCTTCCAAAATCTGAGAGTAATGCTTTACTACAACAAGAGGATTCCTGTTAATTGGAGTTGTATCTTGAGTGTTGCTGGAGCAAATATTTCACGGGTGTGCAGGAGGGTTGGTGATCTCGCTGAACGAGGATATATTCAGGATTTTACCGATGTGGTCAGGAGGTAATAGCAATTCTCTGTCCTGCTGCTTGAGTGCCACTTTGTCACCATCCCACCCGTGTCAAAACTAAGGATCAAAGAGAAGAAGCCATGGCTGTTTCCTGGTCTCTGCACCAGAACTCGGCCAGTTCAGCACTCGCTTACCTGGAGAGAGGAGTTTTATTGTCCTCGTGGAAAATCCACCTGTTTTCTATGTAGTGTGTAAGTGGAGAAGGGCGTTTGGGGTTATTTTCTTCTTCTCCTAGAAAGGGAGTACGTTTTATTTCGGGAAGGTGGGAGGAAGAGGTGGTGGGGGAGCAGGTGGAGATGGTGGGAAGTCGGGGTGATGCACACAGCGAGAGTAAAGCCGTGTGGGTCCCAGGGGGGCTGTCACCAGTGGGAGGGAACGGTGTCTAAGGGGCTGCAAAGCAGGTCCCTGTAGCATCAGGGTGTATTTGTGGAGGAAGAGGTGGTGGGGGAGCAGGTGGAGATGGTGGGAAGTCGGGGTGATGCACACAGCGAGAGTAAAGCCGTGTGGGTCCCAGGGGGGCTGTCACCAGTGGGAGGGAACGGTGTCTAAGGGGCTGCAAAGCAGGTCCCTGTAGCATCAGGGTGTATTTGTACCCACAGGACAGCGCTGGGGGGGCAGGAGAAACAGGCTGAGTCCCACCAGTTCAGGTGGGGCCCAAGTGACTGTAATCAGAAGGCAATGGGTAGATCAAGCTGGGTTTGTGGCAGGCACTAAACTGTACGTTTCCTGAGCGTTCCTGGGTCTGAAAATCAACAGACCCTGATCAAAGCCAGCCCTGGTGATAAGGTTCATGTTACACGCCTTTGCCACCTGCTGAAGACTGTTTTTCTCATGACCTTTTGGGCTGGACGCTCTTCATGTAGTGAAAAGAGACAATTCTCACCCAGTGTGCTCACCCGTGAGCTGGGGTGGACGGGGACACCTCGGAGGGCCTGTCCTTTGAGCTTGCACCGGAGGAGCAGCTGGAGGAACGCTTCTTGGAGGATGCTCCCAGGCTCCGGAGGCTGCCAGGCCAGTGAGGGGACACCCCAAGCCCCTTCTGTCCACCCTCAGCCAGCTGGACACACACTCAGACCACTCTCCAGCTGAGTTTGTGAGGAAATATGAAGTTATGAAGGTTTTTGTATTAGCTTTTCCCTCTGCACCAACATTGACAGGCAACGTCCCTTGGAGCTACACAGCTCATAGCAGTTGGGATCCTCCCTCTTGGTGTCTCTCCAGGACACATCTTCTGTCAAACGAAGGGGACAGGAGGTCTGTATGAAAGACCAAAGGCAGCTGCACCTCTGTCGGTGAATACCTGGGATCTTTCACTTATCTTTTCCCCTGTGGCTACGTGGGTTCATCACCAGGTAAAAACGAGCTCGGTTGCTCAGTCCGTGGCAAAAATTGCCCGAGAACATCAGGCAGCAAACGTCCAAGCAGAGATCTCATTAATGGGATGCGGGTGCCTAATTATCTCTAGAATTGCAGCGTAAACATGAAACTGTTTCTGCGTCGGGGGAGATTCTATCACCGAACCACTGTGGGGACACCTGAACTCTCTGCCTTCCCCCGTGGTTCCAGCAGGGCCTGGTCATGGAGAGTCGTTGGTATCTGAGAGGGCCCTTCAACAGGCTGTTGTGTTGTCCCAGCACAGCCGGCCTGACGTTGGACCTGCCGGAGAGTCGCTGGTATCTGAGTGCCCTTCAACAGGCTGTTGTGTTGTCCCAGCACAGCCGGCCTGACGTTGGACCTGCCACAACAACCTCTGAAAAGTCTGGCTGCCAGAAGAGAAGCCAGATAAGCAGTAAATTACCTTATGTCTGGTCCTGGCTGAACGGTGTCTCCAGCAAACCAATGTCCAGCCCTGTGTGAAGCTCTGCTGGTGCCCAAGCGGCACAAGGAAGGTCCTTTGCGTTTCAGAGCACTCTGCTTCCACAATAGCTCTCCTTCAAGTCTTAAAAGTCTCTCTGCTGTCTCTTGGGCTTTGGAAAAAAGTACCAATAATATTAAAAGGGAGGAATTATCCGGATGAGAGTCACGAGTTCTGAGAGAAAATGGCCTGATGCTCCATGACCTCCATGGGTGGGAAGTAGCAAAGCAAAGCGAAAACATTTGGGACTAACGCCTCTTCCTGTGTGTTTTTGCAGGAGATGCCACCTACCTGGACATCTTCCGGGAGTTCTCTCACATGGCTTCCAATGACCCTGAGAAACTCAAGAGGAGGAGCCTACACTTCAGCCATTCCTGCAGATAGTCCCATCCATCCCTCCTCCCTCAGCGGGGACCTCCTGCTGGAAGGGCCACGATGGCGGAGACATCTGAGAGGGAGCTCTGCTGCTGAAGGAGGATGTTCTCTGTCCAGATGTGGTTCTGCTCCAAGCCTGCGTGTCCCCCAGTGTCTGCTTTTGTGCCCTGGCCAGGGAGGTGACAGCCCTCCAGGGGTTGGGCTGTAGGCCCATGTCCCACAACTTGCAGCACCTGAAGGCGGTTTCAAATGAGTTAAGCTGATCTTTTAGCTCCCGTTTCCCCTTCTAAGTTGCTATTTCTGGGAAAATCTCCCCTTTCTGACTGTGTGCAAACATTGCTGATACTGCAGCAGTGCCCACCCCTGAAATGAAGTGCAGGTAAGTGGTCGTGACCACTGAGCATTCCAGGAGGAGAACAAGCCTGAGGTGCTCTGAAAAAAATGAGGAAAAGTGAATGTTGTGGACTTTGAGCTATGCCCCGTTGTGGCAGTGTCACTGGAGCCAGTTCAGCTCACGAAGAGATGGCACCAGCCCTGGGGTCCCACCAGTGTCCCACCACGGGGATGGTTCATAACTCCAGTGGCACAAGACCCTCCACGCACAGCTCTTGAAGGAGAAAAGCCACCCCAGGACACAGCACTGCAACACCACCACGCCGTGGGGCTCCCAGTCCCAACCAGTCCCCTCCAAAACCTTTGGCAAAGCATCTCACCGTGAGGAGAGTTGAACTCTTCCCCAAGGCACACCTCCCAGTATTATTATTTTTCGTTCATTTTTATTATCATTATGTCACAACACAAATAATAAAGGGTTATGTGTGGCCTATACAGGTATAGGCACCATGACATAACAAGGTGTATTGTCAGAATGATATATATGAACTACGACATGCTGAAATGTAATATATCTTATGGGAAAAGAAATGTATTTTTTTGAAAAGGTGGGAGTGAAAAAAAAAATCTCACACGCAAACGGTGTCTATGAAGGGAGAATAAAGACAGGAAATGTTTTTTAAATTCACACACATTTCTTCATTCTTTCTGACTCTAAATCTTTACAATCCAAAGAAGCTCTTCAGTATGAGGAGGTTTAAAATATGATATTTATCTGGCCCAGGTTTATGGCTTGAAAAGAGGGAGGTGAATGACCTTTTCCCCAAAGAGACGCAGGATTCTGACTCTCTTGGTAGCCCTTTTATCTGATTAAGACAGGCTCTAATTTCATTAATGCCATTAATGAAGCACACCTGCAGCGTGGCACCATAATAGACATCCCAGCCCCCCACCCCACAGCCCGGGAAGGGAGGGGGGCTCTGGTTTGTACCTGTCTCTGGCGCTGCCGTGGGATTCTGAGCAAACCAGTGACTCCCAGTTGGGCTCCAGTTTTGGCTCCAGAGGGGAAACGCACAGCTGGGACACGAGGAGCTCCAAATAGGGCAGGTATTTCAGTGACAACATCACAGGCACGAAGGTATGACCCCAATGAAGAATTTGTACGGCTGATTTCTCAACTCCAGCAGGGCTGCAGACGAGGAGCTCCAAATAGGGCAGGTATTTCAGTGACAACATCACAGGCACGAAGGTATGACCCCAATGAAGAATTTGTACGGCTGATTTCTCAACTCCAGCAGGGCTGCAGGAACGTTCTGTAATAAAGAGGGAGCTGCTAAGCTGAAAAGTAGTCCACACCCTCAGAGAAGATTGCTCTAAGCTACCTTCAAACTGGATACCCATTGCTTTTGCTTCCACTGCCTTAGAAACCATCGTTTTATTCTACTAAAAGTGGCACATAGAAGGTGTGAAGCAAGTTTTCCCTGTGTCCCCCTCCCATAGTGAGCCCCACATCCTTTTGTTCTTCCAGCCTCAGGTCTCGGTGCCACCAGCAGATGTTCCCTGCCCACTCACATACCAGTCTGCCAGGGCATCTCCCTCCCACCTTCCAACACCCCCGGCTCCTCTGGGCCTGCACAGGGATCAGCCAAGGCACCTGCCAAATAGGGGTTGAAGACACGACAAAATCAAACCAAACCCCCAGTCACCGTCTGCATTCAGAGCATTTTATTATTTAAAAAAGTTACAAAACAAAGCTCACGGACTTCTTGTTAACTCTCGTTTTCTACAGGAAGCAACAAATAAGGCAATAACAGAGTAAAACGCTCCTGTGCAAATGTCATCATCAAAAAAATAAACGTGTTTTTCTATGTACACATAAGTTACTGTCAAATATTAACATTAAAACATCTCTATTTATAAACGGACTGCAACAAAAACGCAGCATTTTTTAATTTTCTAAATAAATCAGATGCTTCATCTGTGACATACAGAAGTTATCAACCCCATTTCTTCTCTTTCCTTTCCCCTGGGATGGTCGGTCTCCTTTGAAATTATCGGGGTTAAGCATCTCAGCAGCAGCATTCTGTGCATTGTCCTCAAAATGCAGCAGCAGTAGGTTAAAGACAGGGCTGTGATCAGAGATTTCACACCCTGTCACCCTCCAGACAGCACTGAGGGATGGGACCTCGTGCTCCTCAGCCTCCACTGGAGACCTCTCCAGGACCAGCCAGGCTGACTCCTCTCTTGAGCGCATTTGTGAAATGTAGATGGGCCTGTCTGAAGCCACAGGCTGATCTCCTCACCAGGTTTTAAAAGTTAAAAGCTATGAATAGGCTTTTATGAGGACACCGTGACGGTCCCAGAGAGCAGAAGGGCAGCTCTCTCCTCCCCAGATACTCATTAGGATCAAAAGGACATCGTGTGATGTCTGAATCCGGGACACACAGAGGGTTTAATAACACACTGGAGGAGGATGGCCAGCCTGAGCGCTGTGGTTTTAGGTGCTCACGGATCCTGGATCCAGATCATGCTGTTTGCAGCCTGAACCTGAACGTGTGGGGAGTTTCCAGCCTCTTCCCACTCCTCTGGGCACACAAATTTCTGCCAGCACCTGAGCGTGAGGGGACTTTCTAAGCCTCTTCCCACTCCTCTGGGCACACAAATTGACCCTCAGCTATCCAGCTCCCCTTCCAACGAGCTGCCCCTTGTATATCTGAACCCATTAAGCACCACGTCTGGGCAAAGCTCTGGCATTTCCACCTTGCTGGAGAGCGGGTGAAGGTGCAGGTCTGTTGTCCCAGCAACAGTCACTCCAGAAGGGTGAGCGTGAGCAGAATCATCTCCTTTCCCAGCTTCTTCTCTCACAACTCGGTAGTTTTCCAGGGTCAAGCTCACGCTGGGGACAGTAGGAGTGTGAGCAACTTTCAATGTCTTCTTTGCCCTGAACCTTTGGTAGCAGAAGAGGAGCGACAAGACCAGTGTATCTACCAGCAGCTCAAACATTTCAACCACAGACAACACCGAGGATCCAAACCAGAGACTCCACTGGCTTCCCATGCTGGACAGAAGGATATTCTCCTGTGGAAAGAATCAAAGGGTTGAGTTTATAAAACACAGCAGAGCTCAGGGAAGATGAAGTTACTGCCTATTGCCAGCAGGTGAGGTAGCTGCCTGCCATTTGGGGAGTAACTTTGTGTGACTGTGTAAAATGTGAAATTTTCAAGCCTCTTCCTTAAGAAGAAGAATCCCACCCCATCTCGGGGGCTGTAAATGATCCCCCCTCCAGCCACACACAGCACACCATAATTAATGAGGGGTAATGATGTTGGGAGCTGATGTAGAGCAACCTACTGAGAGTAAAGGAGACTCGTTCACGGACTGGTAGTTCAGTTGCTTGTAGAAGATGGTCACCTTGGCAATGTCCTTCCTGTATTGGAGAAAGGGAGCAGTCAGCAACGGTGGGACGGACACGTCATTCCCCTGGTGGAAGGTATGTTCTGATTTACATGCAATTTACATGCTGATTGCCAGGGAATTGGCTTCACCACTCACTCAAGCTTTCTTCCCCAGGGTGTTTAACAGGAGCTTGGAAAAAGGTGTCAGCAGAGACTGTTTTACAGCGTTGTGAGGAAAGATGGGGAGTTTATGGGATGACCCTGCACATTTAACAGTTGGACTTGATGCTCTTAAAAGTCTTTTCCAACTTAAATGACTCTATGATTCTACAATTTTTTCTTGTCCTCCCTTTCCAGTCTAACATCTACACATTCTGCAGGGATGAAGAGTTAATCCACAGTTTCTACAGGAGTGCCTTCTCCCAGTGACTGACCTGTTGCTGGTGGAGTTATATCCATTCTGATGCCTCAGAGCCTGGCGGATCCAGTCCTGCAGCAGAGTACATGGATGTTATTGGCAATCCTGTCTTCTGAGTTTTCATATGTTTAATATTTTGTAAATGTAGACCTCATAAGCGATAATACAACTATTGCATATAATAAGACAGGATGCAATTGATTGGTTTGTAACATATAGTGATAGCTCCCGGGCAGTACTTGTATTTGCAAGGAAATACTCATATTTTAGGTGTGTAGAGGATTGTGGTTCTTAAATCCTGCCTTTAATGGCACCCCCAGCAAATAATTTGAACTGGAACTGAATGTTCCTCTCCAGCACCTTAGTCTGATATCTTAACTACAAGGTCATCCCCTTAGGCCCAGGTTTTGGACCAGTTTGCTTTATATGCCATTTCCATTGCCTGAGTCACCATTTTCACCCTTAACTTTAATGTCCCAACAGCCTCAGTAAATGCAGGATCCCCTCTAAACACAGCAGTTGTCTGTATGGGCTACCTGAGATTTCACTGATGGCCATTTAGCTGTTCCAGCAGACACCTTGTACAGCGATTCCCTGATAAGATAAAAACGGAGATTATGGTCACTATGATTCTTGGCATTTAAAAGTGAATACATGAAGGAGTTTAACAACCCTAACTCCTTGCCTAAAGCAGAAGTTCTGCGGGCAGCTCTGGAGACCCTCGGAAAACATTTTGTAAATCAGCTTAGAAAACAAAACCAGAGTTTGCCAGAAAACTGTTCAGGCCAGGAAAAGAACTAGAATATTTTCAAAATCCTGACAACTTTTCTTTGCTGCATTCAACCCCAATGTATTTGATATTTTACTTTAAAATTATGTCTTTCTATTCTGAAATTGACCTACAATAAAAGAGGTGATCCAAAAAAAGTAATATAGATTGGAAAATGACACAAACTATTTGGTTTGGGCTTAATAAAACATTTCAGTGTGGTGAAACAATTTCCCCTCTCTGCTGTCATGCACACACAAAGTTCTTATTTAATTTGTCTAATGCTGTTGTCTTTTTCCTGTCTCAGTATTGACGTTCAAACATCAAACTGAAATCTCTGGTTCAGAAAATGTCAAGATTCAGTTGGCCAGTTGATCCATAAATTTTCCAGTGGGGTAATTTTCCTTCACAAGCTGGCATTTATTGTGCTCTGCTTTTGTGACCTACCGGCAAGGCTTGGGGCACTGGTCGAAACAATTGAGGTGATGGCTTCTGAGCCTGTTGTACAGCTGGTAAAAGCAGTGACCTGGTGAAAGAAATGGGAGGAACACGCTCAGGAAATGGAAGGCTACCAAATGGAAGGCCACCAAACCCGCTGTCCTCACTTGCCCTTCCCAAGCACACACAAATCTCTCAGGGAGACATGGTTTTGCCTCTCTCTCACTTTGGAATGTCTCCAGATGCCCGAGCTCATCACCTGTGTGCAACGAAGGTGCCTTCCCTCTAAGGATCTGCTAAGGACAGACCAACCAGAAAACCAAGAGAAGTTCTTCAAAGCACAGCACTGCAAAGCACCAGCACAGCCACCAATATTGGTAATATGAAAGAGCTCAACCCTATATTAATGTCCTAAATAAAGAGATGCTTGATATTTTTTATGCACTAACTTGATATCCCTGCAGAGACACAAAGAGGTGGCTGCCACCTGGCTGGAGTCAGTGATGTGAGGAAAGAGTCTAAGCAGGAAACGGGCACAAAGTAGACGGGCAGTAACTGAAGGGGTCATGTAACTTGTGACTGTTGTCGGAAGCTCTTGTCCCCTTTCGACAAGGACAAGACAAGAGTTTTCTGCTCTTACCCCATGCAGGCTGTTTATTGTAGTCACA